CACTGCTTACTGCCCGCTCCTGGAGCACGGAACCCCGAGCAGAGCCTGTTCCAGCTCCTTGGGAGACCCACCAAAACTTTCTGTCCTCCTGTGAAGATCTGTAGGGTCCTCGACTTCCCCAGCTGCATCCGATTAGACTGCATACAAAATTGAGTTTCAATCAAAGTTCATAAGCTATCATTGCTCATTAAGTTAACAACAAATACAGCAAAATATGGAATCAGCTGTGGTATTTACAATATCTAATTGAGTTTGTGGCTTGAAACTAAGGGCATGCCCACTTTTGTTCTCAGTGAGCAAATATTTTTTTCTAATTATCTGCATAACTTGTTCAAGGAATGATAGAAACGGTGCAAGTGGTCGCACAGAGTGTGGTGGAAGGAACTGCCGTGCAGCTGGGATGGCGTAAATAACACCAATGTAGTGCAGAGGGTTACAGAATAAATACAAATATAGCTCTCACTGAGAAATAACCTTTATTGCTAGCTGCAATTAAAGGCCAAATAGAGACATCTCCTAATAAACACAGCTTGTGAGGGGAAAAAAGCCCTTAGGCAGGGTGAGGAAAGTTTTCCGTGGTCTGGTGTTTGTGTCCACATTCTTTCCACATACAGTCTACTGAAACCGTGAGTATTGCTAATTAAACAAAGCCAATTTGAGAATACTGAAAGTAGTACTGTGTGCTGGAAACCAGTCCAAACCTCTAAGCTAAGGCACTTTACCTGTGCCTTCAGAGTTGTAACCGAAGCGGGGAGGTCACTGTCGCTTGGTTTATTTTATCTTAGTTTGGTTTGGGGTGGGTAGGTTGGTTTGGGTTTGCTTTTGCTGTTATGATTCAGATTTTTACTAAACTTGCATACCTACCAAACTTGTATGCTCAGCTTTCTGGGAAAGGCAAGGTCAAAGAATCACTTATATTTGGGGCAGGAAACATTGATGTTTTCCGCTCGTGATGGAGGTTCGTCTTGTCGTCCTGGGCCAGCCTGAGAAGGTTGTGCCTGGCTTGGGGATCTTGGGTGCTGTGTGCTGTAGGAGAGATGAAGAAATAGAGGCCACCCCCGCAAAGTCATGTTGGGAGTGCAAGATTAACTAGGAGAAACAGACTTTTGCGAGCAGCGATTTTAGTAACGAGGTAGGGAGTGAGAATGTAGAGCCTGCAGTGAGAGATGGTGGTGCCATGTGCATTGAAACATGAAAATGATAGTGCAGAACAACTCAGAATCAGAAAGCAGAAGCTGCATTTCCTGCCCACGTTACCCCCGTACAACTTTGGATGCTACAAATCACTGTCCTCCACTTAAATACAAGTCTTTGCTAACAAAGTCCTGTTTTCACAGTTCTGCACGCCAGGTAAGTGTCCCTGCAGCTAATGGGTGTGTGTGCAGGCCTGGGAGGTTGTGTGAGTATCTTCAAGTGCCTCTCTACATGTGACCTAGTGACCTATGGGGAATTTCAGCATCATAGCTCTGCAGATGGAAAGCTTTCGGTGTTCTGGGAGGGCTTTTTGCAGCTTGTGCATGCTGATAGCTTGCCTGCTACAGCCAGAAAACTGAATCTAGCATTGCTCGCTTGTTTTCCAGGTCGTGCACCACTGGTCCTCCTCTTGTCTGCAACGGTCTCTCTGCTGGGCGGGCTGATATTTGGATATGAGCTGGGGATTATCTCTGGTGCATTGCTGCAGTTGCAGAAAGACTTCTACCTCAGCTGCTTCAAACAAGAAGTTCTTGTAAGCGCCCTCCTTGTTGGAGCTCTCCTCGCCTCTCTGGTTGGGGGGATCCTCATTGACCGTCACGGACGAAGGAGAGCAATCTTGGTCAGCAACTTGGTCCTGCTGGTTGGCAGCCTTATTCTCACGCTGGCAAGGTCACTTATTGGGCTGGTCATTGGACGCATGACTGTGGGCTTTGCCATCTCTATCTCATCCATGGCCTGCTGCATCTATGTCTCAGAAATGGTGGCAGCTCATCAGCGAGGGCTGCTGGTGTCTCTCTACGAAGCAGGCATCACCATAGGCATCCTGCTGTCCTATGCGCTGAATTATGTCTTTGCGGATGTGGATGAGGGGTGGAGGTACATGTTTGGACTGGCTATTGCCCCGACAGCCATGCAGTTCCTCAGCATCCTCTTTCTCCCAGTGAACCCTGTTAAATTAAGCTCGTGGGACTCAGACTGCCAGAATGGCCTCATTCAACTGCAGGACACTGAAGACAGAGCAGCAGCAAAGCTGGAGCCCTATAAGGAGAAGCATTACACGTTTCTTGACCTTTTCAGGACCAGAGACAACATGAGAAGGCGGACTGTAGTGGGCCTGGGACTGGTGCTCTTCCAGCAGTTCACTGGGCAGCCCAACGTGCTGGGCTACGCCTCCAAAGTCTTCCACTCAGTGGGGTTCCAGAGCAACTCCTCAGCGATCCTAGCTTCTGTTGGGCTGGGGGCGATGAAGGTGGTGGCCACACTTGTCGCGATGGCCTTTGCAGACAAGGCTGGCAGGAGAGCGCTCCTCATGGCTGGCTGCGTGGTGATGGCCATCTCCGTCACCACCATCGGCCTCACCAGCCGCATTGCTCCGCTGGCCATGGCCAGGGACTGCAAAGCAGCTGCAGACCCCAATGCATCCCACAGCCTCACCCAGCACCCCCTGATGCCCGTATCCTCCCAGCCTGCTGTGTCACCCATCCCTCCAGCATTAGGTGCTGCCAAAAGTCAGGAAGGCACCGAGTTTGCTGCCACAAGGAGCCTTACAAAGGTTTTTGCCTCTCAAACCTTTCAAAGCAGAGAGGTTGTTCCCGTTTCTTCCCTCACTTGGAAAAGGGGCTTGGTAGGTCAGGCCAAAGAAGAGACAGTGGGAAGCACTGGCCCTCCTGTTGGTGGTGCTCCCTGGGCAGAACGTATGGTTTTAAATTGGATTACGCTGCTGAGCATGATGGCTTTCGTGAGCGCCTTCTCGATTGGATTTGGACCAAGTAAGTACAGTGTTTATATATCCTTGCACTAACCCACTACAAAAAAAAAAGAAGGGCTGCTTTTTACAGCCTCCTTGAAATGTTCAATATGTATCTACTTTACCAAGCACCTCGGTGTATGGGAACCTGAAATTTGTCCCCTTCAGCACCCTGAATAATTTTCTAGCCTTGCAGCTATAGGGCTGGTACAGCACTAGAATAGCTTTCTCTTCTGTACTGTCACTATTCTTGTAATGTTTTTCCCTGTCAAGCTCATTGCAAAATCAGAGCATCCCACAAACACTACCTAATCTTTCTAGCATCCTGGTGAGGAGGAAAGTAGAGGGCTGAGAAGAGAGGGACTAAGGGGCTTCTCCTGTGTGATGGAGAAAGTCAGTGGCAGAACTGGAAGTGGAACCTCCCCAGAAGTTACTCAATATCAGTTGGTCTTTTTCTGAAATCATGATTTATTCATCAGATGGGAATAGACATCAGTTCTTCCATGTGAGCTCTAGTCTTTTCTGACATTTATTGCCTTAAATGCTTTGATGGGAGAAAACAGCATCTAACTCAAGGGAAAACAGCACAGAAAAAAAAAGCACACAGCAAGCCTTATGGGTTTGACAGTGCCTCTGTAAGTTATTTCAAGCAAAATAAGGTAATCTCTCCCATTCCAGGGTTAAGATATATATTACTTTGGCTCTGATTTTAGCCCAAAGACAACATTATCTCCCCCTAATCCTACCCCTTTCTCATTTTTTTTTACAAAGAGCATGTCCTCACAGCAGGTATGCCAAATCTTTTCCATCTCCCCTGAATGGAATGACCAACTCCCCTGCTTTCTTCCTTGCTCTCTGGGCCTGTTCATTGGTATTTCATGCCTCCATGGAGTGCTAGGCACAGGAGTTTTGAACTGTTCTGCTATGACCTGACTCTAAGATCGATGGATGTTTAACACCACCAGCAGCCAGTGCTGGGTGAAGCCAGAGTTTAAAACCCCTGCTGAAATCTCCCTTCCCCATTTCACAGATATATTGCTTAACCCCTAACAACTGTTTTTCTGATCTCTCTAATCCATGCAGTGACCTGGCTGGTCCTCAGTGAGATCTACCCTGCTGGGATAAGAGGAAGAGCCTTTGCCTTCTGTAACAGCTTTAACTGGGCTGCTAATTTACTGATCAGCCTCTCCTTCCTTGACCTTATCGGTAAGTGGCTGTTCCCCCCTCCCTCCACCTACCACAGCTGGTCAAGGAAGGTGGCCACCACAAACCATGGAGAAGAAGTGGCAGTTTGAACCCTGGGGACCTGACACTGGAACAGGTGTGACCCTGCTGCCCCTGAGAGCAGAAAAAACAGGCACCAGCAACGCTGGTCTGAGCCTCTCTGCCACCCATTTCATAAAAACCATCCATTGTCCGCTGGGCTCTACTACAGTACTGCAGCATCAGGAAGCCACAGAGTTTGCAGCTCCCGTGCCAGGAGCTTTACAACATTTCTGTCTGGCAGAGGTCTCGGCTGAGGCATTCAGTGGTCACTGCTGGCCCTGGAGCTTGCCTGCCTTCTCCTTCCCTTGCTGGTGCTGCTGGCACAACCTTGCTGATTCCTGGCCCAGGCCTTGCGGATTAAGAGTTTTCCCTGCCCGTTTGAGGGCTTCTCAAAATAAGACAGCCCTGTCAAGCACCAATGACCACCTCTCAGTAAACAACCAGCTTCCTGTGTATCCCATGATGTGACCTACCTCCTACAGACTCTTCATGCATTTGAATCTCTCTGCAGATGCCATTGGCTTCTCTTGGATGTTTCTTCTCTATGGACTGATGGGAGTGGTGGCTGTTATATTCATTTACCTTTTTGTTCCGGAAACGAAAGGACAGTCCTTGGAGGAGATAGACCAGCAGTTCTCCGGGAAACGGTATGTGTGCTGGTGTACCGGCTGGGTACCGGCTTTGGGTGCTTCCCACCAGCATCTCTGAGGTCTATGGCACTGGGCACCTCAGGGCTGTTGCAAAGTCTGGTCAGTGCTGCTGAGAATATCACAGGTTTGTGGTGGGGCTGTGGCATCCCACATGAGAGCCACAGCATGGTTCTTCAGCAGGTCACTGCCCTGAGCCTTGCAGCTGTGCTGCTGGAGGCCACTAGCAACACTCAGAAGGAAGAGGGCTGAAAAGCAGGGCTTGTGGGTGAGGAGAGGAGAGCAGGACCAGAGACATGGCACAGGCAGGTCAGGACAGCGAGGTCCTTAGAGTAATCCCCAACTGATCCTTCTCCTCTGGGGCAGAGACATCTCCTGGTGTAACACAGGCCATGGGCTCTCACCTGCTAATTTCCATGCAAAGCCTGTAATGGGGAAGATCAAGTGGTGTTTGTGCAATTCTGGCTGTGAAGGAGGTGGAGGGCAAGCGTTTCTGGAGCAGAGGGAGGTTGTGCAGCCATGGGGAGGGAACACACACCCCACGGGGGTGGCCAGGACGGGTGACGGCTGTAAACCCCTGGCTGGCTTCTGGCTCCCCAGGAGCAGCAGCTGCTGTAGCTGACCTTGGCATTGCCTGGCAGGGTGTGGGGAGGAAACACGCTCAAGCGGAGACGTGGAAGAGGAGCAAGCTGCACACACGGTCACTACCAGAGAGTGGAGCATGACAGCAGCACATGAAACCAACGCCATGCCTGCAGCATTGCCCTGGGGAAAAGAGCAAGCTGTGCCATCCGGACAGTTCTATTCCATTGCCTTTAACTGGTGACCTCTGCAACTCAGAAATGGTTCTCACCACAGTGCCTTACATCTCGGGATGTGCAGATAGATGTCCTTTGGGTCCTTGGAGAATCATTGGTCCTGGGCAGGGAACATATCCTTCCTGTGACATTTTTTATTTTTCATGGTGTCTCCTGTCCTTTAAGAGATTTATGGTTTCGTATGCAGGAATTAAAGCACAACTTTTGCTGACAATGCTCTCTATCTGTGCAGTTAATTTGTGAGCAAGGTGCATTATTTTCCAGTTCTTCAAAATACTTGATGCTTTATAGAGGACACGGTATTGCAGGAGGAATGTGTCAAACAGCAGCGTACATTAATATTCTTAATGTCTATAGCATCTATGTAGGAGCCTGGAGTCTGAGACAGGAGCTAATACAGATAAACGCTAATTTAGTGGAGGCAGAATGAGTGCTGGTCCACCCGCTATTTCCCAAAGGGTCGAGGTCCAGCAGCTCACCCACTCGATTGCTCAAGTGTAGAAGTACACCTCACGTGTTTGCTTTTGTACACAGAGCCCAGTCTGCATTCATGACCCGGGTTTGCATGTACAAAAATGCGTGCAACACTCTGGTACCCTTGACAAGTTTTCCACCTCTTACAATTGTACGTTCTTTGATTAATTCACCTGTCCTCCTGACACACAGACATTACAAAAAAACCCCATGCTTACTCCCAAAACCTTATTAGAGAGGA